TGGTGACCATGATTAGAATGAGGTGGTAATCAAGATGCTGACGACCTTCAGAGAATTAAAAAAAAAAAAACAATAATTGTAAAATTAGTTATTTTTTGGTGTGTGTGTGTGTGTGTGTGTGTGTGTGTGTGTGTGTTTTTTCTCATAAGTACAGGTGACTGTGGAGGCCAGAGGCATCAGGTCCTCTGGAACGGGGGGTTACAGACAGCTGTGAGCTGCCCAGTGAGGTTCTGGGAACTGAACCCAGGTCTTCTAAAGAGCAGTATGCCCTCTGAATCACTGAGCCATTCTCCAGCCCTGACAGGGTAGATTTTAAGATTATTTTAGGATTGGGAAAAGGGGACAGGACAGGAATCCCTTTGTTTACATCTATGGGAAAATGAAAAGTGAGTGGCCAGAGGGAGCAGAGACATTAAAATGAAAGTGATTTGACAACTGCTGAATGCTTTTCCATTTAACAGAACAGGTACTGATAGCAACTGACAAACGCCACATTAGTCACTGTCCCGTCCATGCTCCGGGCCAAGAGCCCACAGAAAGTCAGCAGTTCATTTCAGTTTGGTTGGTAATGAATGTAGCTACTTCAGGAGCCTGTAACCTCTGGGTTGGCATATACATGTGTGTGTCACACGTCATAATAATATATTCTACACATGTGTAGACGTAAGTCCTTTTATGGGCAACACCCCACCCCAACCCTCCTCATCCCACTCCTAAAAAATAACTTTTATTCTCAAGACAGGGTCCCTGGGAGCTGTGCTAGAACTTACTATGTACAGCAGGCTGGCCTCGAACTCAGAGATCTACCTGCCTCTGCCTCCCTAATGCTGGGATTAAAGGCATGCACCACTAACTCTTGGCTCTAAAACTAATCTTAAAAATTACCTTCTTGGAGCTAGGGAGATGGTTTCAGAGGTTCAGTGTATATAATGTTCTTTTAGAGGACCGGAGCTCTGTTCTCAGAACCTACAACCTACACCAGGCAGTTTACAACTACCTATAACTCTAGTTCCAGAACTGATACATTTGGTCTGCATAGACACCTGCTCTCATGTGCAAACATACACACCTGTACAGAACTCTCTCTCTCTCTCTCTCTCTCCCTCTCTCTCACACACATACAAATAATGAAAACAAATAATTTTTAGATTATCTTTTTAAAAATAATCTCTCCTGTCACCATTCTGATGGCCGCTCCATATTCCCCAATCTTAGGCAAAGGCAAGAGCAAGAACGGTATGCTGGAACAGCTCTAAAGATCTATAACAAGGTTGCCCCATCCAACAGGTAACAAATACACCTTGTAACATGGTGGGAATTTGGTTGAAATCAGCTCAAATCCAGCCTCCTTCCTTTCCCTTGCAACCTAACCTTGCTAGGCTTCATTTCCCATAAAGGGAAAATAAATGGGAAGCAATACCCCTGGCAGGACTGTTTGGAGGGTAAAATGGGATAAGAAATGCACAGACCCCACCTAGGTGCTCCAAGCATAAGAGTTAGTTAGTCTCTTTCCCTGTTGGCTCCTTAGGATTCTTCAAAGAAAGGCATTGATTACAGCTCAAACATCCTGCTCATACAGAGAAGATGCCAGGCAGAGGGAAGATGCTGAGGGAGACAGTACATAGCTAAGGACACAGCAACTGTCAACGGTTGTTCCGACTCTGAGTAAGAATACTCTCAGACTGCTGGTCAGTGCCAATGGAAAGCAGAGAGAGACCACTGGGAAGGCAGGGTCCCATCCTTGTTCTTGGGCTTAGTAGGCAGTAACTGCTCTGCTGGCATGCCCACACGAGTCCACACAAGCTGGTGTGCAGAAAACACAAGGTCAGCATCTGCAAGCAGCAGGAGAGAGGTTAAAAGGCCAAAAAAGGATGTGGCTTTTCGGCACCTCTGTGAACATATGACAACCTCTGTCAAAGAAGCAGGCTTTTTGATGCCTGGAACCACCTCTTACTCAGCATCTGCCAGGAGGGTCACATTCCTGGGGGAAAGACACTCTCCTGTCCCTGAGAGCGCCTCTTCCCCAGGCAGCCTTCATACTACCTTGCAACAGTGCCCGTGGCAGCCAAGCTAAATGGTGAAGCTGGGCCAGAAGGTTTAGAGAGATTTGGGAACAGCCATTTAACAGCTCACAAGGGGCTGGGCTCATAGCCCTTCCTTCAGGGAGCCACATTTTTCTAGGATTAGTATTCCTTGGACTGGTTACTTAAGTCCTTAGCATCTTCCCCCCTTTGGTGGGAAAACCCTTCCCTTCTGCAGCGGTTGTCATGATGAGTCCAGGCTCCGTTCCCACCTTCCTGCCTCCTCCACCATCAGCAGATCTCACAAGAGCATGGCCTGTGGACTGCAAAGTCAGACACAGGACTAGGCTCAGAGCTGTGGCGCTCGGGCATAGGTCACAGGAACAGAGACAGAAAGGAAACATCTAGCTCTCAGCCCCCTTTCACTGATGGCTGAAGCAACAAACACAGCAGAACAGGGTGACAGGTGGGCACGAAAGGCAAACAATAGCTATCCAAATGGGGGGGGGCTGCTCTCCTTGGAGGACAGAGTCACATAGGCAAACAGCCCACAAATGGAATGCAAACAGCCACCCAGCCGTGAGAACCTTGAACTCTGTGGGAAGAGAAGAGCTAGAGTGACCCACTAGGAAGTAAAAAAAAAAAAATCTCTAGTCCCTGCTGCTCACAGGGAAATAATTATATTTGGAAGCCCAGACCACGATGGCCAGGCACTTGTCACCAGCACCCCAGAAGCAGCTCAGGGCAGTTTCCCCCACTATGAGATTAAGTGCATTATTTGTGTGACTCAAGGCCAAAAGGAACCCCCACCTCCCCCACAAACCGAGTGGACACGGAGCATGGATGACATCTGTCCCAGTACCAGGGAGGCTGGATGTCTGTGGAGGACTCCAGAATTTCTGCAGATGTGAGGTCTTGCTTAGTCTTCTTACAGAGTGGCGTGTGGTGCCCATTCGGAAAAATCTTCAGACGTTGCTGTAAAAAGCTGGCTCACCGAATCAGTAATGGATTGCCACTGTGTTGTTTTTGTTTGCTTGTTGTTTCCTTTTTCTCCAAAGTGACATCGTTTGAGGCATTAGTAGAAACCAGACAGAAGCCATGCCTGGATCCTCAGCCACACTGATAACTTTTAGCAGTTTTCAACAGGTCATGGATTTCACCTCTTCTAATCTTACTCTTCAAACATCCCTGACCCAGGTTGGGCTTAGGACAACAGAGGGTGGGCATCACATGGACAATGGTCTACTGGGGCACCAGGAGATCAGGAGACCGCCTCAGGAAAATCTGGATTATTCCAGTTCCTCTCTAGGTTCCTCCTCTCCCTGAAGCCTCTATCTTGCTCATCCCCGAAACAAACAGAGAAGGCTGCAAAGCCAAGGCCATGGCAACAAGGGAAGCATGAAAGCATGGCCCTTTAAAGCCTCAGTTCTTACCTTATTTCTCCCCATTCAGTTGCCACTAGAGCCCCTTTGCTATACTCACCTGCACGTGAGCCAGGGAGATTCCTGCCTTAGGAAGGAGAGCCCTGTGTCAGCCTCCTCAAGCTGGACCTCCCAAGACAGCACCCTCACAAGATGGAGCCCTCAGCATGAGCACTAGCTACTGACACCGGCCTTGGGTTCATGAGTGGCCCTCTGAGTTATCAGTTCTCTACATACCACTGTATCTAGAACATTCTACAAAATGCCCTACAGGATCTGCCAGTTACTTTTCTACACTGAGAAAGCCAGCAAATGTCTTCTAAGCTCTTGATTCTTTTCTCTGGAAGTCAATTAAACAGGGGGCTGCACAGCACACGTCTGAATGGCCCTTCAGAGCTGCTCCCCGTCTTTGGCTCACAGTGCCTCAGTTTCCCTGTCTTGAGCCAGTGACCCAGAAGTTCACAAGGACTAGGCAGTCTGAGAAGGCAAGAGTACCACTGAACTTGCACTTGAGATTTTATGAGGGTAGAAAACTCTTACTCAATTCTAGGAAATATCTCTATGTTCCAAGGATGACCAAGTTGGAGGAAAGTTTGTGAAACATGTAAAATAGACAAGGGTACTGAAAAGTGGACAAAATCTTGCCAATCCCAGCCCTGTAGCAACAACAGAGCCCAGCGTGTGTCCTGCACCTCCCGTGGGAAGTTGAAACGCTAACAGTACCTAGACACTGTTCCCAGCACTTTCTATTATTTTCACTTTCATTTTGTCACATCATCACCAGAAGGCTAGGAGGAACTGGGTCCTTCCATTTCACAGATGGGTAAACTGAGATCCAAAGACAGGACACTGCCGAGGTTATAAGGGCATTACTTTAGAATCCCACCCAGGCCATGACATTTTCTTTCACCAGAAAAAGGAACTAGAAACAAAGAGAGCAGGGACAGGAGCTGGGCTCCCATTCTGTGACAAGACAAGCAGTGCCTGCCTGCAGAGCAGCTGGCTGGGGAGGGAAGGGCTGGGGACAGTCCCTAGTGTCTTATAGGAGTTCAATCTCTCAGCCCCCACCCCCCCACTCCAAGTACCCCCCCCCCCCGCTCTTAAGGTTGACTAGGTTTTGTTTTAAAGTGCACCCTTTGTCCTTTACCATATCTTAAGTGCTAGAAGCCTTTCAAACTCCGAAATCCGTTATTTACTTATACTGGAAAGTCAGGCTCTGGACCTGGAGAGACCAGTTCTCCATCTATCCAGGGAGAAAAGGGTGGAACCGAAGGACAGTAGCCAGAAGTTGCCACCCCGCGAGGTGCGAGAGGAACTTTGGGGGTCTTTTTGTTTTGTTTGTAAAAGGGACATGGCTGTGGGCTATCCCATGAGAGAGTTTTCTTCCAAAGCTCGTGACAAATGCATGAGTACACCTTAGTCCAGTGGCCAGGGACAGCATCTCTCCCTCCCGGACACTCTCACAGTTCCACCCGCAGGGGTCCACGGAGCCACACTCCGGTGGGTTATCCCCGGAGCGCCCACGCCCCCCTGCCCCACGCTAGTGGCTCTCACTCACCCGCTCTCACGCCTCTGGGGACCCGACCAGAACGTCCCCGCCGGGTGGTGACGCCGGGCCCGGGGGCCGTGTGTCCGAGGCCAGGCGGCGAAGGCGGCCCCGCGGCCGGGAGGAGAGCGCGGTTGGCCGGGAAGAGAAGGGGGCCCCGCGCCCCGGGGGTGGCGGGCGGTGGCAGCAGCAGCAGTAGCAGCAGCAGCAGCAGCGGCGGCGGCGGTGGTGGTGGCCACCGCGGGGCGCGCGGCGAGGCCATGGTGGCGGCGGCCGCCCGCGCTCACATGCCGGGCGGAGGGCGGTGGCGAGAGGAGCGGGGTACGAGCGCTCTCCCAGCCGCAAAAGTTGTGTGAGCCGCGGGAGGGCAGAGGCGGCCCCGGCGCCACCACACACGCCAATCAACTCGGGCGGGTCGCGGGGCGGGCGGCTCCTCCTCGGTTGACATCACCCGCCCGCGCGGGGGCCCGGGGGCGGGGAGAGGGCAGGAAGAGGGCGGGGGCGGCCTGGGTCCCCCGGGTGAGCGCACGGAACCCCCGGGTGAGCTCATGGAGCCCCTGCACAACTTTTGTTATGGGCCCACGCCCTGGAGCATCGCTTTGGATTTTAGAGGAATGGAATCGGGTAGGAGGTGGGGCCACTTTCGCAGCTCCTTGGCCACACAGTAGGTCTGTGAAAAGTAGGTCCTGGTAATGTAATTGATACCAGGTGAGTATACAGCATGCGTTCAGAGAACAGAGAAGTGGAGCTTTGACCCTGCTGGGCACCATGCGCCCACCAGCATTGCCCTTAAAGATCTGAAGAGGCCCTACCCACTTCTGCCTTTTGGGTCCCCAGTGCTAGTGATAAGCTTGTGTCAGCCACATTAGGTGCTGAGGAGGGAACCCTCATCTTCTTTAGGGTTCATAAGCCTGATTCCCTTCCCATGTTGTTACTGTCTTTGGCTTACACCAGAGTTCTGTGGAGATGTCGCTGCTGGGACACTCAAACAGGCCACAGGGAAAAGAAAACTGTGAACTGAAGCTGGGGGAAGGACAAACACATAGCTAGGAAAAAGACAGCAATTTGCAAATTAAAAATGTTACACAGCTTAGACTGAAGTTAAAATGAAACCTTTAGGGAAGATGTTCCAGGACTGGGTGTCAATAAATTTGCTTGGTAAGTAGAGTTCTGTGTGTGTATTTGCCCCCAGAAGACAAATGATACAATGTCCAAAATTTGGGACCCAAATTTTGCCAAAGGGCAGCTTAAAATGGGGGTAACAACTTGCTTTAAGACTGTAGAAGAACCCACCAATTAAAGGGTTTCTCACTGAATGACCATGTTTGGAGTTGTCAATAATTCAATGTCTCAACCAAAATGAAAACCACAGCTCCCTTAGGATGCTCTGGGGTCCTTTGTCTGTTTACCAAATGCACAGGAAAATGGGCATGTCTCTTTCCCCATTTCCCTGCCTCCATGACCCACCTCCAGGGAACCTAGCAGATCATAATGTCCAGGGCGGCTGCAGATGGGCCTAGACCCATTTCTGGTGACTCAGTACAAGTGAGTCATTTGGCAGAAAACAAAGGATGCTCCATATAAACGAGCTTGCCTTATACACATGAGCCACAAAAGAAACCTAAGTTTCATGAAGTGTTCAGACCTCTCAATCAATCAGTCAGTCAGTCAGTCAGTCAGTCAGTCAGTCAGTTCAAGCATGGACCGAACTCAACATCTCTGGGCACAGCTCTTGTTAAAAGGCAGCAGCCCAGGCCCAGCTAGACAAGCTCCAACAGGCCAGTACACTGTCCTCAGGGGCTCCGGTCACTGCAGCTCCCTCCCTTCAACAGAAAGAAAGACTAGGCAAAGACCAAGTCACCCTTTCAGGCAGGCAGGCAGGTTTAAGGGGTTAAAAGACTGTCCAGGCTTCTCGAGTGCATTCAGACAACTAACTCACTTGGGAATCTTCCCTTTCCTGCCAAAGACCCAGGGCATTGTACCTGCCACCTGCCTCTCCCCTAAGCATCAGGTTTATCTCTCAAATCTCTCTACCATCTAAGTCAATGAACATTCAGAGTAACTGCCAGCTTAGCCAGTGGATAAAGGGGAGACATGGGAGAAACCTGCAAAGGTTGACCACCATGTAGATGGGTCCTAGAACTTTTTCATCTCCACCCTGAGGACAGAAACTTGCAAACAGTAGTCAGCCTGGTCTTAGAAACTGCTTCTTTTCCTGATTTTTACCACTGTTCAGCTAACCTGTGCCATACTTCATCTATAAAACAGATTATCCTAGATGATTGCTAAGAAGTGTCCTGTCCCCCATGCTTTAAGGTACAGGGGCAAAGCTGTTGAAACAGGTGCCTGAGGCCTGAGAAGTGGGGGCACAGTCGAGCCACCAAACCGGACCATTCTGTGGGTGCAGCTGAAAGAAAGGTGTATTGTACATGTGAAAGAAAGAATAACCAGAGGTATTCGGGGAGTCCAAAGCAGCCATGGCTGCCTCTCGGGGATGCAGGGGTGAAGGAAGAGAACACTGGCCTTGGGAGCAGAGGGGGGAAGTGGGAAAGAAGATCAGGGAGAGAAGCAAGAGTGGGAAAAGCTCGCCAAGGACAGGAAGCTGCAGGGTGGGAGGAGAGCATGGTGGAGGGGGAGGTGAGCAGGGCCAGAAGGCTAGTGTGGGGGCGGGCTTTGATATTCATAACAGGGACCTGTTGCTAGGGACTAGAGAAGCCTGGAGGTTAGTGTTGACTCAGGTATATAACCAAAGCTCTACACCAAGGGAATTGGCCCTTCCTGGCAGGCAGGTATCTGAAGAATGCCACCAGCAATCCTTCTAGTCGCTGCCTTTTGTGACAACAATACAGACAAGAGTCCCCATCATCTCAGATGACTTAGAAGAGTGTCTCTCTGGAGCCAGGAGTATAAGAAGATGGCTTCACAGATGTAGTTCAGTGTTGGGAGTCTGTTTATTGATCCAGAATGAAACATCTCAGGCCAAATCCGAGGGAACTATGGGCTAGGGCTGCGGAAGGAGGTGTGAGGGCACACCATGTGGCTGCCAGGGAAGACAGCAGGAATCCGGTGCCTCTATCTCTGGACACTACATGGAGTCAAAGAGTTTACAGAAGCATTCACGCCTTGGTTTGCAGTAACAAATAGGACTCCCTCATTCGGCAGTGTAACCCCATGATGTTTCATTCATGTTCACCCAAAAGCCTTTCACACTGATGTTAGGTCTACCAGGTGGCTCTTTCTCGCAGTCTTTTAGGGATGTGCAATCGCCTTTCTACAATCCATGGCTTCCAACTCTGCTTTGGGATTCAGTGTTCCCATGAGCCAGAGGTGAAAAGAACATTGAGGTAAGCAGGAGAAACTCTGAGGAGCCAGGCCTGGGAGGGGCATGCCCCACTTCCTCTTACTCCACTAGGGAGAACACGACAATGGGCTTCACCCAGCTGGGAAGGAAGCTGGGGAATCTAGCCTAGACACAGAGGCAAAGAGGAGAGGAGGGGTCTGGGTAGATTGCTAACAGTGTCTACCACATGGAAGCGGGTACATGGAAGGGAAGGCAGCAGAAAAGTTTCCTTCTGTGTACAAAAAGGGGAGTGAATCAGGTATCTCAGCAGCTTAGCTACTTGAACATTCTATAGTTGCGAAAGATGCTCCAAAATGGATAAGCAGGACAGGCTCCAGAGCAGCATGCCCTCTGTCCATTGGTCAGACCTTAGGTTTTCTCCAAGTTCTCTGTCCCTAAGCTGTTCCCATCCCTCAGCCAAGTCAAGTGATTGCTATTGACTTCCGTGTCCCCAGTTGTTCATCGAGAAGCAACCTATTACCTTTCAATGCTTCCCTAGGGCTGGTCTAAGGATATGATGGGGTCTTCTGAACACCACCATGCTCTCCACACAACGCTCTTACCTGCAGGGCCTCTCAAGTGTGCCCACTCTGCTCCTGAGCATAGTGTCAGTATGGGTCAGCATTGCCGTGGCTGGGACCCAGTGGTGACTGCATGACAGACCATTCCCAGGATGCCAAGATTCTGGTGACTTGGGGTTCCAAAGGTTGGCAAGCTGGTCAACAGACACCCAAACTGAGCTTAGCCTGGAGTAGGCGCTAACCTTAGGCAACACTGGAAGGCTGGCCAGTTTCTCATGCTAAGCCATCCTGGGTCTTGTTTATTTGTCCTCCCATCTGTTTGTCTCTCCTCCCACTCAATTTATGAGCTGCTTTCTTGGAACTTCTGCACTTTACTCATCTTTTACCAATAGAACTCAACACAATGTCTTCTTTCATTTAGTCATTCAGTAAGTATTTCTGCTGGGACTACCCTGTGCCTGGCTCTGTGCTGGGGGTGGGACAGGTCTCTGGATGCAGAACTTAAGGGTTTGAAGGAGACAGCCATCAAAAGGACATCACTATAAACCTGGGTCTATGGGAGGGCCCCGAAGGAGACCACTTGGGAGATCATGCCATCTCCCTGTAAAATGAGGTTGAGCTATGACCTAGCAGATCTAGGTTGTTAGACAGATCCAAAGAGAGTTGGAAGAATATGTATGAGCCTGAAGGTAGGAAGACTTGGAATAAGGTAAGTGTAAAAGAAAAAAGCAAACCAGGAGCTGGAGAAATGGCTCGGAAATTAAGAGCACTGGCTGCTCTTCCAGAGGACCTGGGTTCAGTTCCCATCATCCACCTGGCAGTTCAAACTGTCTGTAACTCCAGTTCCAGAAGATCTGACGCCCTCTTCTGGCCTCACAGGCACTTCATGGCTGTGATGCACAGACATAAATGCAGGTGAGATACACAATTACCTAAAATAAGAATTTAAAAAAAGTGAAAAGAGTGAGAGAAGAAATCCAGGATGGCTGGAGCCCAGCAAATGAAGAGGAGCAGGGATGTGACCCGGCCCAAAGACTGAGACTACTTATACCCAGGGATGTCCAGCAGCACATAAAAGAACCTGCTTTAAGAGATTAGGAAGTCACTACCAGATTCTAGCTCAGAGCCAGTGGATGGAGAAGGGTAAGGGTGACATGATGTACAATTGGGCATCACCATTCAGTGATGGGAGGGATGATCCAGAAATGAGAGCTGGTATGTAGACTTCAGGAATTCAAGTGAGGAAATGACAGTTCTCAGACAAGAGTGGCAGCAGAGAGTCCCAAGGTTGCTATGCATTTGAGAGGTCATAGGAAGTAAAACTCCACAAGCAATGTTGACCAAGGCGTCCTGAGTCTCTGGCTTGTATGGTTGGACAGGTGTTGGTACCATTCACAAGGAAGAGAGGGCAATGGATAAGTAGTAAGTCTTAGATGTTGAGACCATGTGGCAGTATCAGGTATGCCTCTGAGCCTGCGGACTTGGAACTGAGAGAAGTCCAAGTCCAAGGTCTCAATCTAAGTAGAGATAAGCTCACCTAGGGAAAAGACAACTGTAGTCAAAGAGCCCCAAACATGAGCTCTAGACGGCCCCCTATGACATGCCCCAGAGAGAAGGCCCTGCCAGAAATGAGACTGGAAAGGACCCGTGGAGAGGGTGTAGGAGAGCAGGGGTAGAGGGTGTGGTTTTGTTGAGTGGGTGGTGGTAGTGTCATCAGAGTCAAGGGAAGGAGGGTGTGGTCAACAGTGTATGACCCCAAAGAAGGTCAAGTAAGAATCCATGGCTTTGGCAATATTTGTGACCAGGGATCATAACAAGAATAGTG